ATTGCACACACTATATTCTCAAAGTCATCTGTCAATGACCTTAAGATCTTCTCCACAACTCGGCTTGAGGGAAGATTCTCTCCATTCCTGTTTAGTTTGTTCGCCACAGTCTCCACCCGAGTAATGAACTCGGATACACCTTCTGACTCCTTCATCCTCATGTTTTCCAGTTCGCCCCTAAGGGTTTGAAGCCGAACTTGCTTCACGCGTTCATCTCCCTTTTTTGCTTTCTCGAGTATGTCCCATGCCTCTTTTGAAGATTTAGCATTAGCAATCTTCTCAAAACCCGACTCGTCAACAGCTCGGTACAGCAAATACAGTGTTGCCTTGTCCTTTGCCCGAGCAACCTTCAATGCATTCATCTGGGCATTTGTATACCCCTCAGTGGTCACCGGTTCCTCGTACCCATTCTCAACCACATCCCAGTTGTCTTGGGAGCCGAGAAGGGCCTTCATCTGCAGCTTCCAGTTGTCGTAATTGACATCTTTAGTCAATTTGGGTAATGGAATGCCATTAGTTAAACCTGCCATCTCTCTTGAGTGTATACGCTCCACTCACACACCTCACAAGAATTTTTTCTTCTCTCGGGCTGGGTACACCAGGTCGGCTCAGGTCGGCTCACTCTCACCTCACGCACACAAGCTCTGATGCCAATTTGTTAATGAAAAAAGGGCATAAATTTGGGAGCAAAACAAACTCTCTATATTCTCATTTTTGTTGCAAATGAAATTACACTTATTTGTAGCTGACAAAAAACAACGTTTACATATTTTAAATGCCTCTCATAATTCACACCATTAATATTATTAAAACAAAAATAAAACTCCTAATTTAAGTTTCATAACATATTTTATGGTTGAGTACCCATACCCAAAAGACAAAAAAAAAATGATTTTTTTGACCTTAACAAGTAATTTGTAATAGTTTCACAAAACAAAATAAAAATTATATTCATATATTTAATATATAATTAAAGTCATTAGCATATTGCTCATATATGTAATTTCATACCTTGTCTATTTCAATATCAGATAATTGATTCAAGCCAACAATATAAACGTTCATAAAAAGGGCAGCTATCACGGCCTGAAATTAAATAGAAAAGCTCATAAATATTAATAAAAAGTTAGGTAAAACAGGGAAATAGCATGCATTAGACGTTTTATTTTAGTACCCACCTCCGACAAACCAATAAAAAATGCTGGAGAAATATCTGATGATTTCTCCACTGCAAGGAGAGACACAGAAATTATACTCAATGCCTGTACAAACACAAACAAAGTAAGCCTTACTGAAAAATTCAGAATATTTCTTTTCTTTTTTTCTAAAATCGGGGTTTATACATAAGAATTGGATTAATTAATAAAATATTGATTCCAGGAAAATGGTTTATCTTAACTGTTCCAATTATTGTGTGTGGCCTGCTAAACCTGTAGAAAGCATCCAAAGAGTCTTTGATAGAGCCCCAAATGCTTTTTTGACTTGAATCTTGAGGTTCAAATTCAAATGATTCTCCTGAGGCTGCATTCACCACATAACTTCTGGCACATTCTTTGCATGTGAATCCTATCTCTTTGCCTCTACAGTGATGCTTCAAATTATGTTGTTGATGCCTCACGATAGTATCTTTATTCTGGCTTTTCTCAATTTTATACCATGAAGCTTTTTTTACGTAAGAATCTAAAATATCAAATGTGGAATTTTAATTAGTACGTAGCAGTGACCTCGAAGAGAGATATTATTTGTTCATTTAGGATGCAAAAACATGTGTAGCAGAGTTTAGTTTGAAGAGAATGCAGCACCATTTATTTTAACACACTCTTTTGAATATCGATCGAACTCTATTGGAAATTAATTTTTGTAGGTTTAGAATTCTTAATTTATCGCCCATGCTCTGGAAAGGGTACACACAAAATCACAAATAGTTAATTTATAAAGACATGTGTTTATAAGAGAGTTAATTGATTAATATAATTGTAAGAAATACTAGTTTTCTCTAATCGTCTTCCATATTTTATTTTAAAAAATACAAATAATTTGGCAAACAACAATTAACTATGCAAGCTGCAAGCCAATTACTATGTTCCTTTTTAATATCAAAAGCCAGCAACTCTTTTTAAGTTTATTGTTATACAATAATAATAATAATAATAATAATAATAAATACAGACATATCATATATGCCAACATTGTATGTCTATAATCAATTTCAATTTCAATTTCATGCATGTTAAAAGTCAGAGCAATAATTACTAATAGTAACTTTATTTTTTATCATTTGAACCACAAAATTAATTACAGCAGTTATCCAAATACAGACCAAAACCGATTGGCAAATGATAGGACCCACCCCCAGAAAAAGAAGCAAACTAAATGAATTAATCACTCATCAAGAAAACTAAGGTCGTGTTTGGATTGAGATTTTTAGAAAACTATGGAGTTTAAAATTCTTGAAATTTAAATTTTTTTAATTAACTTTAATTTCTATCATTCATTAAATATTTTATTTGAATAAATTAATATATATTTTTCAAATTTTATATTCTTAATTTGGATAAGACAACTTAATTAACACCATAGAAAAAATTGAGTTAAAATAAATAAATATATTTTCGAAGGGTGCGTGAACAGTAGCAACAATACCAAAAGTTCTAAGTTTTAACTTCTTAAAAAGTTGCATGTTCCTTAGAAGTGGAGACTAAGTAGCTGATCAAACATCCTCTCCGCATAATTTATTGAATCAGTTTTTTGCAGAGAAACAAACCAATAAATTTCAAAACCAATAATATTTAATATTTCAAATATTGTGGCCTTATCGATGTATGAAGAATTTGAAGTCAGAATATTAATGTTAGACGGAACACTTACGCCATTCTTACGTCTTAATGTTAATCGGAGACATGTTCCAAAACACTTAAAAAGTTTCATAACTCCTAAGAACCAAGTCAATAGTTGTTTCTAACTTCTAAGCACCTCTTTCTTTAACAACTGCTGAAATATTTTTTTAAAGATAAAATTGTAACATATTAATAAATGTTTAAACGAACAATACTTCTGAAGAAAATGTTAACAGAAGTGAGGTCGAAATATAATGTATTTGGATGAAAGGGATGAGAATCAGCAGAAAAAACACAGATTCAGGAAGAAAAAAAAAATCTTTGGTGATTTTCGAGTCACCAATCCCTTCATTCCTCCCATTTTATAGCTTCTTCTCACCTCACAAGGCTTCACAGCAACAAAGTTATCCAGATTATTAAAATTGTCTGCAATCAATGTTCCATAACATGTAAAAGAATGCACGCCATGATGCATTACAAAAAGTTTTGTACAAAGAGATGAATATAATAGACATACTTGCATAGTAACTTTTGCTGCACTTTTTACTCCTCCAACAATTTCCAACTGCCAATAATGTCTCTTCACGTTAGTCACAGCAATTAATTTTCTTTTTAGAAAAATGAACCAACATCTTATATTTTTCAGAAACATTACACATAAATGGAACATTTTCATGTCTTACCAGGGGTGATGAAAGGGAAAGACCCAAGAAAAGTAGGAGCCATTGTTAAGGTACGATAACTTCTGAGTGGAGCTTCTTTCATCAAACGCAACAAACCCCTTGTCGCCTTTACCTATAAAATATGGAATTCTAAGGAAAGAAATTGCCTATTAAGTATTGAAATTAAATCTCATTAATTATATATGATATAAAAAAAAATGCATTCATTTATAAGATTGTGATTTGTAATTAAAATGCAATACAATGATTGTCATAGTCTTCGTACAAGTAAGCTGTCATGTCGTAAGTCATGACTGTACGAGCTACCCGAAGCCAAAACTTTGTAGGGATTTTAAAGAAAAATCTGCATAATGTAATTGGTAAAAAAAAAAGTAAAATAAACAAAAATAGAATAAATAAAAATATATGAGAAAAGTAGAAATAAAAGTGTTCTAAAAGTTTTAAAACATTTAAAAATTAAAGATTTTAAATACTTTTATTTTTTTAAAAATTTATATTTTTAATATAAGTAATATTTGGAATGCATTTATAAATATTTGTGTGAATTGCAAATTCTCTCTAAATTTAGGCAAATCCATGATCTTTTCAAGATTGATGTCAATCTTCTAATAATAGAGTGTTTAAGATTAGTGGATAAGTATCTTCATGATTATATTTTATAAATTAAATTTTGTTTAAATTTAATATTCAAATTCTTATTTTACAGAAAAAGTAGGTTTTTATTTTCATATATATATATATATATAGGCATAATATTGTTTTACCACTACAAGAAAAATCAAGATTATCTACGGAAAAATCCGTAGATAAACATAAAATTCCGTAGATAAATGTCAATTATCTACGGATTATCTACGGAAAAAAATCCGTAGATATTTTAATGGGAGTATGTCAGCAACCTACACCAAAATTTTATGACAAAAAAATTACTCATTTCTTTTGATTTGGTTAATTCATACAAATGATATATATATATATATATATAGGAGGGTTCAAACGACACCGGTGTAACTTTTACTAAGTGTTACACCGCTTAATAACTTTATATTAAATGTGAATTTTATAAATCTAACCGTTAGATTGAAAGTTCATATCTCTTAGATCATATATGTCAAATTTTGTTAAAATTGAACAACAACTTGAAGGTAATCAAAGTGTTCATATTTTAGTATATTTTAAAATGTATATATTACGTCAGTTTTGTTTTATGAGAATGAAATATCAAATCATCTTTGGTTACTATAAAATTTTGTGTATATGATCTAAGAGATATGAACTTTCAATCTAACGGTTAGATTTATAAAATTCACATTTAATATAAAGTTATTGAGCGGTGTAACACTTAGTAAAAGTTACACCGGTGTCGTTTGAACCCTCCTCATATATTATATATATATTTGTAGAAGAGTGTTTGATAGAGTAAGGTGTATGGTTTTGAAAATTGGACTGAGCTAGTTGGTCGGACCAATTCGACGAAAAATCAATCCTTAACTGATTCGATTGATTTAGAATCAATTGAATCAGTTAAGGATTGATTTTTCGTCGAATTGGTCCGACCAACTAGCTCAGTCCAATTTTCAAAACCATACACCTTACTGATCTTAAGAATCATTTGGTAATGAAATAGCGAAAATCAGAAGAACCAAGATAGTGTTATAAAATTATGATTATATATTTATTTAATATTATTTTTATATTGATAATAATAATTGTGACACTCTCTATCTCACATACGTATTACACAATAAATATAATGTACATTTCTTGAGTAAATAAAACTTTCTTAATCAAAACAAGGTTCCAAAAGACATAGATAGAGAGTTCACATTCATATTTCACAAATCGTAGTCCAATGCAGAAATGATGACAAAATAAAACATTAGTCTTTCCAAAACACAATAATAGTAATGAAACTCCTATGTTAATCCTAACTAAGTCCCAATTTCACATGTCCTATCAGAGCACATCCCATAATGAGACTTAAACCTCATCACCTACATCTTCATGATGATGATCACCTGTAACACAATAAAAATACATATAGAGCAAAAAGGGAGTGAGAAATATCTCATTGTGGTTCAGATGTAGAAATAAATGTTAGGCAACACACAATCATAACAAATACCACACAATTTACACATAACCAAACACAACTCTCAAGTTATAGATACATCAGAATACATGCACATTCACTTATCATGCAATATTATCATGGACTCAACTCATAAATGCATGCATGTGGTGCCATACAAAAGTTGTACATTTCTCATCACTGGCATGCTACTACAGCAACATACTTGGGGGCACGTTCATTCATAAATGCATCACTAGTGACCCAAGGTACACTTGGAATAGCTCAATACATCTCTTACATGCAGCCTAAGCGGCACACCTAGAATAACTCAATACATCACTAATGACCCAAGGTACACCTAAAATAGTTCAATACATCACTAGCATGCGGCCTAAGAAGCACACCTGGAATAGGTTAATACATCACTAGCATGTGGCCTAAGTGACACAGCTAGAGTCATATATGCACATGATGCATGTCACACATTCACTATTTCATTGACTCAACATTTCACTTATCATGTCTTATCATATCTCATATCACTTATCACATTTCACATCTTCATAATCATCCTATAAGGTCACACACATAAAGGTTCTCATCAAAAGATCATGTCCCTAATTAATTCCTCATATGGTTTCCCACACAAAATCACAAAGCACTATAATTCATATCAAAACTTAATTAATACTCAATGCAACTTATCATAACAACTTTTAGCTTATCAACATTTCAACACATACACCTTACAACATAGGACAACTTAACAACTTCATCTCGACATGTTCAATACAAGAACAATATAAAATTAATGTGTCGTCACACGTATTAGCTAAGGAGATCTCCTACATCAAATGTGAGTAGTTTAAGTAATTAGACAACCGTAGGCCTCAAAGAATGTTAGGTATACAACTTAAATTTGATTTCTTAGGTTTCTCTAATTAAATTAGGAAGTCTAAAACTATTGTCAGGAATAATAACTTAGGTATAAGTCTTGCAACACTAAGTCTCTTATGGGATTATCTTATCGACTATGTAGCTCCAAATATTATGCCTTCCACTCAATTAATCACTTTATAAATGTATGTCTTGACCTTGTCCATATATAGATTCCACATAAAACCTAGAGGAGATAACTTTAAAATAACACTACAAGAAAATTCGGTATTTCAGACGGCAAAAATTCGTGGGAAATGCCCAAAATCCGTGGGTAATGAGGCATTTTCGACGGATTACCGACGGACACTAATCCGTCGGTAAATTGGTCGTCTGAAATTTACCCACAGATTTTTATAATTTGTTTTTAATTTTAATAAATTTATTAATGTAAGAACCCTCATATGTTGTGAAAATAAGTTTGAAGACATATTTATGATACTTGTTGAGAGTTATCTGCAAAAGCAAAATGGTGCACACAAAACTCATAATATTTATGTCGCCCTCTCGCGCGCATATAATTAATTAGTTTTTATTTTCTTTTTAACATTTTATACTAATAAGAGACTTTGTAAACAGAAAAAAAAAAACTAATAAGAAAGCAACAGTATCTAACACAGATCGTGTAAACCAAGTTATAAAATACATATTTTATTTATTTTAAAATTACGTTTTTTTTAAACTTAATTTTCTTTTTATAATTATATAATAAATATTTACGTTATTATACTTATTTTACATTATTATTATTTTAAAAAAATAATATATATAGCTAAATGTAAAAAATAATTTATAAAAACCAAAAAGAAAAATAATTTAATTGGGGCGTTGTGGCCCATAGCTACACTCAGGCGCTATGGGCCACAGCGCCTGTGTTAAAAAAATAAAAAAATTACATTTTATTTATTTTAAAATTACGTTTTTTTAAACCATAATTTTCTTTTTATAATTATATATTAAATAGTTCTTTTTATTATACTTATTTTACATTATTATTATTATATCGGCTTGAGGGAAGATTCTCTCCATTCCTGTTTAGTTTGTTCGCCACAGTCTCCACCCGAGTAATGAACTCGGATACACCTTCTGACTCCTTCATCCTCATGTTTTCCAGTTCGCCCCTAAGGGTTTGAAGCCGAACTTGCTTCACGCGTTCATCTCCCTTTTTTGCTTTCTCGAGTATGTCCCATGCCTCTTTTGAAGATTTAGCATTAGCAATCTTCTCAAAACCCGACTCGTCAACAGCTCGGTACAGCAAATACAGTGTTGCCTTGTCCTTTGCCCGAGCAACCTTCAATGCATTCATCTGGGCATTTGTATACCCCTCAGTGGTCACCGGTTCCTCGTACCCATTCTCAACCACATCCCAGTTGTCTTGGGAGCCGAGAAGGGCCTTCATCTGCAGCTTCCAGTTATCGTAATTGACATCTTTAGTCAATTTGGGTAATGGAATGCCATTAGTTAAACCTGCCATCTCTCTTGAGTGTATACGCTCCACTCACACACCTCACAAGAATTTTTTCTTCTCTCGGGCTGGGTACACCAGGTCGGCTCAGGTCGGCTCACTCTCACCTCACGCACACAAGCTCTGATGCCAATTTGTTAATGAAAAAAGGGCATAAATTTGGGAGCAAAACAAACTCTCTATATTCTCATTTTTGTTGCAAATGAAATTACACTTATTTGTAGCTGACAAAAAACAACGTTTACATATTTTAAATGCCTCTCATAATTCACACCATTAATATTATTAAAACAAAAATAAAACTCCTAATTTAAGTTTCATAACATATTTTATGGTTGAGTACCCATACCCAAAAGACAAAAAAAAAATGATTTTTTTGACCTTAACAAGTAATTTGTAATAGTTTCACAAAACAAAATAAAAATTATATTCATATATTTAATATATAATTAAAGTCATTAGCATATTGCTCATATATGTAATTTCATACCTTGTCTATTTCAATATCAGATAATTGATTCAAGCCAACAATATAAACGTTCATAAAAAGGGCAGCTATCACGGCCTGAAATTAAATAGAAAAGCTCATAAATATTAATAAAAAGTTAGGTAAAACAGGGAAATAGCATGCATTAGACGTTTTATTTTAGTACCCACCTCCGACAAACCAATAAAAAATGCTG